CAAATGAAAATGGGGGTTAGTAACGAAAATATACATAATACGATATGTCTTTCATGCAGTACTCATGCATCCATGCAAAAGATTCAAGAAAATTCAGTTAATTTATTGTATATCATGTATTACGGATCGCAGATAAGTGACATGGTAGCAATTGCAAAACTCATGGATGCGACTTTGGTTCTTCCAACCGTAGATCACAAGTCATTTTGGACAGATCCAAGGTGTGATAATTAACACATGTAAATAAATCATAACAAAACCATTTGTTATTTCTTTTTTCTGAGACTGATTTGTTTCCAGTGATTTTAAAGATCTATTCGACGTCAAGCAGTTCACGACAACACTCCAAGATGACATCGACATAGTTGACTCTCTTCCACCTCATGTTGCAGGAATCGCACCCCACCAAAAGGATCCAGTTTCATGGTCAATGGTATGTTTATATATACACGATTCTAATTAAAATCTCTAAGACATGTTGATTTCGCATGATGTCAATAAATCCATCACTAATATTGGTGCAGCCCAGTTATTACCAAGGTGAGATTCTTTCACTGTTGAGGCGACAGAAAGTGGTTAAATTTCTTCACACTGATTCGCGGCTCGCTAACAATGGCATCCCGGATTCCATCCAAAAGCTCAGGTGTCGAACCATGTATGAAGCCTTGAAATCCACAAAGGAGATCAATGAGCTTGCAAGAAAGCTAGTCAACAGACTTAAACAAAACAGCGAGCATTATCTTGCTCTACATTTGAGGTATCTAAAAGTACTCTTAGTTTATTTAACTTTATCTTCAAAACTAGAATTTAACAACAATAATGGAATTAGTTCAACCCGTTGCTAAAAAATAACCTTTTAGTGACGTACGGATTCTAATTGTTCTTGTAGATTTGAAAAGGATATGTTAGCTTTCACCGGCTGCACTCATGGTCTTTCTGAAAAGGAGGCTGACGAGCTTAAAGCATTGAGGTACGGAGTAAAGCATTGGAAGGTTAAGAATATCAAAAGCATGAAAAAACGACAACAAGGGAATTGCCCTTTGACGCCTCGTGAGTCTGCTATTTTTCTCCAGGCTATGGGATTTCCCTCAAGTACGAAGATATATATTGTGGCGGGTGAGATCTATGGAGAACGTGGACTCGATGATTTTAAGGAAAAGTATCCTAATGTATCAACTCACTCCACCTTAGCAACGGAAGATGAGCTAAAGCCTTTTAAAGACATGCATAATCAGCTTGCTGCATTGGATTATACACTGGCACTTGCGAGCGATGTTTTTGTGTACACATATGATGGAAATATGGCTAAGGCTATCCGTGGACATCGTATGTTCAAAGGGTTCGAGAAAACAATTTATCCCGATAAGTAAGTTTCGGTAATACTCAAAACTACTTTTGACTGTTATACACAATTGATTTTCTCTTATAAATATATAGAGATTACAGAGACTGTTGTTTAGCCGATGTCGTACTCTCACATACAGTGAGGTGTTGCTCATCTCCATATATCTAACCAAGGCAGTAGTGACAATTGATATATAGTTTGTTAGATAGATCGAGTCCTTGATTCTCGTGTGAATATGAAAGCATAGGTTTTTCAAACATATTTTGAACCTAGAGAGATGAAAAATTACCCTTTAAATATAAAAAATTCATTAACTTTTGTATAATAAGAAAGAAAATTATTTATACTAGTTTCTAAATATAACATTTTCAATTACAAAAATTCATATAATGTTTTATCCAAATTAGAAATGCAACTAAAAAGAAGTAAAAAGGTCCTCTTAATTAATAAAGTGCTCCAAGAGATAATGATGTGTGATCTATAATTTATTGAACTCTATAAATTTTAATTACTTCTTCGCATCAATATTTTACTTTTTTTAGATGTATACAATTCTTTAACTATATGAAAGTTCAATGGAGCATATTTTCACAAAAAAAAAAAAAAAAATCAGGTGTTGGATCAACTTAATTCTAATATAACACCCCATTATGTTTGAATCTAATGTATTGGATAATATATAGAAGTGGATGAGATTAGGTTTAATTGATGTGGGATTCAAACATTGACATTTAATTTATATTTGTTATTTGGTGCAGAAGGAACTTTGTGAAGGTGTTGGATCAACTAGACGAAGGACGTTTGAGTTGGGAAGACTTTTCATTACAGGTTAAGAAGTTGCATGCAAATAGAACAAGCAGTCCGCAACGTAGAGTAGCTGGAGTGAAACCGAAAAGAGAAGAGAACTTCTATGCAAATCCATTCCCTGGTTGCATTTGTGACACTAGATATATAGATTAGATCACATAAACTAACAAGATGAGATCCAAGATGAACCAGGGAGAGGATCATTTAATCGGCATGGAGACCGAAAAGGAAAATGGATCAAACAAAAGGGCTACAAGTGCAAACGGTTCTTTGACTCTTCGTAATTATATCATTTATATGAGCCAATGGAATTCTAGAATAGATGAAAAGTGGAGCTGCAATTAAGGGTTGAATATGCTGCAATTAAGGGTTGAATATTGTAGAGGTTTTCATCGTTAATACATTTTGATATAAAGGAGCAAACTAACGAATTTTATTTAAACATTAGAGTCTAGAATCTGGATTTACTTTTAAATATAAGATTATAGATTTATACTTTTGTCATTTTTTTCCATTTGTTTTATTTAAGAATTATTGTCACAAACTCTCTCCAAAAGATCGGTGGTCTCAAGTTCATATATTTAAACCATCACCTAGCTAGTGGATCACGTGATAAAGAGGTAAGGGAGTTTGAAGTTCTTCTAATCATTGGGGCCTCCAATCATATGCAGTGTCATTCGCAAAAGCAAAGGTAGACGTTTCCGTATTTTTTCAGTAAAATGACGAACCAACGAATGCAAGGCAAAACTAGAGGCGACAAAAATTGACACGAGATACTGATCCAAGACAAACTTGACACAAAATAAATGGATTTTGGTAAGAGATTTCAACTCATTTAATTAAACGAGTTGACACGACATGACACATGTATTAAACGAGTAAAGTTAGAGTTGATAATTTCAATTTGATTATAACTCGAAAATGACACATTTATTATATGTAGAAACGATTTAACTGTCTATGTCAAGATTGTATTTTTCATTTTTTTATGTTTTCTCATGACCTCGCCTCTTTCCTCAACCTGTTTGATATTCCTCATTCCAAACTCCTACTCTTTCACATTTCTTTCGAATATTACTATGAATTTCACATTTTCACTTTCAAACTCTTATTCTTTCCGGTTTTCACCTTGTTTAGTGTTTCCACCGGACATGAAATAACACATTTGCTAGTTCTAAAACATATCCCACAATCCGATATGAATTCTACATGAAAATAAACAGAGTGACTCAACACGACATTGATAATTAAACAAGTCGACTTAAGTCACGCTTTCTCAACTTGTTTGATGTTTCAACACAAACGACACAACACGGTCTAGGCAAGACATCTTCATGTCTTCACCAAAATGGAAGGTGAACCCTCTCAGGGTGAGTTTACTCTAAGCGAGATTATCTTAAAATAAGTTTTATCTATTTATTTATTTGCAATATTCCCTCAAACATCAGGGATGCGGATTCTTAAATGCCAAACACTGGAGGACTAGAATGCAAATTACCATTAAAGGTGTAACCCTCTTTCAAAGATTCATTTCTTTGTCATCCGCCTGTACGCGATACACATCAGATCGATCTCTGTTCGTCTCCCCGATTCCACTCTCCTGATCTTCCGATTCCTTAACCCAGGTGAGTTCTTATTCTTCCTAACCAATCTGTGTTTTAGGGTTTATATTACCTCATGGCAAGGTTCAGTTTCTTTATCAACTACAGAAATCATTGTGAATCACATTTAGAAGTTTGATCAATTAGGATAGGGTTTAAATAGACAACGAGAAAGCAAAAATGTTCGTGCAATTTCTCCTAATTTCTTCTACTTCCACAGAACTGAACTCGGTTATGGAAGAAATTGCTCTACTTAATTGACCTTCTCAAATTTTAATAACAAAATCGAGCTATATGTTTGCCTGGATGCATTTGTTGTATCTATAATTGGACGTAAATCAACAGATATAAAATTCCTTCAGATATGATACGGAAGTTACTTGCTATCATATAACGTTTTCCCATCTAACAGAGAAATGCCTTCTGATTTAGCACTAACAGTTCATATTGTTTTGTGATTTGGGTCTGTTATACGACAGTTTATAACTTCAACTTTGGTACAATATCTGTAAATGAAGGAAAAGATAAGTTTTTGAAGTGGACTAACCTATATATATATATATATATATATATATATATATATATATATATATATATATATATATATATATATATATATATATATATATATATATATATATATATTATACAGGATATGGGTCTTTGGACGCTATTAGAGGGATGTTTGCTTATAGCAAATGCACTAGCAGTATTAAATGAGGATCGGTTTCTTGCACCTAGAGGATGGAGCTTTCAAGAGTACTCAGGGGTGAAAAGAAATTCCTTCAAAGGACAGATCATTGGTCTCATTTATGCAACCCAATACTTAAGAGTTATATTGATAATGCTCAACTCCCTTTGCATTGTGGTAAAGCTAGTTTCTGGATAATTATCCAAAGTAAGTCATTCTTCAAGGCTTGACCTAGTCACCGAAAACTCAAGTGGATTTCGTTGAAAATCAAATAAGCTTTTCTGTGTAATAGTTGCTTTTGATCCATATTTCAGTTAGTGTATTGAATTTGCTGTAGCATTTGTTTAATTGTGTTAAATCTTCTTCTTTTTTTTTGTTATTGTTAGGTGACTATCCACATTTTTTGGTGAAGCAAGAAATTGTGGTTTTTGTTGTATTGATTTGTGTCAGTGTCACAGTCCAATGCATGGTAAACACAGAACAATAAATGAAAAAGCATTTCTAGGCAATATAGTAATGTATGGAATAGAATAAAGTCTAGAATAAATTTAAAAGATTACATATCAGCAAAAAGGTGATAAGTATTGGAGTGAATAGCAATAAGCCTAAAAGCAGCAGTAGCAGCTGCAACAGCCATGATACCAAAGAAACAAACATTGACCCAATGCCATGACTTTTGTAAAGCAGTGAGTGAGTTTGTTTTGGCCACTAAATACATGTGATTAGCGAGAATAAATGTAAGTGGGAAAGTGCTTATCGCTCCTGTTAAACTCATGAAGTCTCCAAGAAATGGAAATGCTGCTGATACCAAGGTTGTAATGCCAATGTAACCCCCTCGAACAATGATTCTGAAACACAATTTTTTAAGACCCACCACACTTCCTTTTATTCCGTATTTAGTGTCCAAATACTCGTACATTGGACTTGCAAATATCTGAAGAAAACAACACATGAAAAACTATGTTACACAACAAGACATGACAAAACATGTACTAATCAATTGTGTAAAAGGCGAAAATACCACTAAAAAGATTGTACAACACATGAGAAAATAGATTCTATTATGTTTGAAATGCATTGGATTAGAACACAAAGCGGGAAAGTTCATCTCTAGTCTTTGCAAAAGACAGATACCCCTAGAAAGCCTGTGCAAAACATGGTAGAATAGGTTGTACTGTTTTTGACATGCATTATACTATTGCAAAAGTTGGGAAAGGGTAAAGACTAAAGAGTCACTCTTGATTTCTTCTATGCAAAAGACGAAAATACCACTAGAAAGCTTGTACAAAATATGACAGTCTTCTCTTGATATGCTAATGGACTAGGAGAAAAGGTGGGACATGACAATCAAAGAGTCACTCTTGATATTTTTGTCTATAAAAAAGACAAAAATGCACCTGGAAAGCTTGTACAAAATTTTCAAGAAAAAGTTGTATTGCTTTTACTAATTAGCAAAGTACTAATACATCTATCTACTTACTCTCTAACTAAGAGAATGATGTACTCGATTGGGAATTTGGGATTGGAGGTGGGACAAGAACTCGTCTCGGTTTCTTATTTGTGCAAAAGACGTAAATGCCCTTGAAAAGCTTGTCCAATCCTATTCAGTCTTGTTATAAAACTAGAAAGGGTAAAAACACGAGTAAATTACACGAATAGGCCTTATGGTTTGGGGTAATTTGGTCCCTAACTGTTTGTTTTTGTTGCGCGCTTGGTCCTTGTCTTACCTAAAAAAAGACTATTTTGCCCTTAATTTTTTTAATTTATTTAAATAAACACACCCCAACCCCGCTTCCACCTCACATTACCTTACCTTACCTATCCTACCTTATTTAAATAAATTAAAAAATCAAGGGCAAAATAGTCATTTTAGGTAAGACAGTGACCAAGCGCGCAACAAAAATAAACTGCAGGGACTTCCCGAGTTTAAAAAATAAGTTAGCGACCAAACGTGCAAATTACCCCAAACGATAAGGACCATTCGTTTAATTTACTCTAAAAACAATAGATAGAGAAGATTACATGCAAAGCTATAACGGATTGAAAAAAGGCAGATAAGTTGGCAAATGTTTTGACCCAAACTGGGCCATGAACATTGTTAAGCAGATAGGAAGATGCTCCATTGCCATAAGCCCAATACCCCATGAACACAACGGCATAAAGTGGCAAAACTCCTACAGAAAACTGAAAGTAGAGCGCCTTCATCATGTTACTAACAACAGGTGGTCTCACAGTCGCCTACACAATTAAAAAACACAAAAAACATCATTTAAACGTAACAAAAAAAAAAATCACAAATTTCTGAATTTTCTTACCTGTATTTCCGGGAGCATTCCTGTGTTGAAAGCAAAGACAAGACTTGCAGAAGCACCGATGGTTGTAAAGATCTTGCCAGTGTCTGTACCTGGAATGCTATAATCCCTTGGTGGAGCTTCGATTCCTATAAGTCAATCAAAGATTGTGTCGTATGGATAAATTGTTGTTCTTTATGTATTAAATCAAAAGGAGAAAAATAAAAAATAAAAAACATATATGACTTACCAGATTAAGTAATCTAGTAAAAAAGAACACCTTAGCGATAGCATATTATTTTACTTTTGATCACAAATAGCAGAGAGTTGGAAATTATACCATCACGAAGAGACAAGGCAACTGCAACCACAATGTATACTAGAGTGAAGAATGTTGAAAATCCAAGCCAAATTCTTAGAGCTGAGAGATGAGGGATAGAAATTGCAAAAATGCCACAAGTCAACCCTGCTATGGCAATGAAGTACGGGAGCCTAATCGCATTGTCATCCCTGAAAACTATATAAATAGCCTGCAAATTAAATCAAATTAACATCAACTAATTAACAACTACAATTCTATTATATTATTGTACATGACACGTAAATCCTAGGAAAGTACCTTAACAGCCTGACCAGCCAACATGATATAACCCACATTAATCATGAAAAGATTGACATATTGCAACACCCATGTAAGAGCATAAGCCTTTGGACCTAAAAAAAACCTCCATTTTTTATGAGTTATGTTTTCAAGAATGTATAAATCTTTGTTTGGTGAATGGTGAATGGTGATTAGTGATTACCATACACAAAGCCTGCAAGGTCTCTGTATCTGATATGTCTCTTCCCGCCAAATTCATGGAGCCTTGCGATTAGGACATTTGCGTATAGTGATATGATTGTGGCTAAAATTAAACCTGCAACTCCACCTGTCCAACCGAGAGGAACCATGACTGCACCTGAGTACCCCAGCACATAAGCACTGTTGATACCAGTCGTAAGAACAAATCCCGCTTGAAACCACGAGTCTACATCATAAACCCAAAACCGATCAGTCTCATTGAAGACCCTCTTCGAATCAATGGCAATGTTTACCAAAATGAATTCTAATTTCTGTAACTTGTTATAGAATTATAGCCATCAATATCTAATTAGGTGAAGTTGAAACAGTCAGAAATTTAACATATACTGTCATTAATCAATTGAAACGGGAAAAGTGAAAAGAAGAATACCGCTGCTGATCTTATGGGCTGTTTCAGGAATTTCAATGGCTAAATGATCGTCGGAGTGAATCTTCCATGTGTCACTGGGAACAGCGTCGTCTCGTTGGACGTCCATTCATATCACACAAGAATCCGCTGTTTTCTTCTTCGATTAACGCCGTCGACGGATTCTTCTTCTTCCTCTTCCAATTTCACTACGTTTTCACTCGAAACTACAGATTTGATACGTTTCCGATTGAAGAAACTGTGTGCGATTGAAACAAGATCTGAACAGAAAACCGAATGAAATGGAGATTATGGAGATCCGATTAGCGCCACCGTGGACTGTGTGAAAGCACACACATACACTGAAGCAAGGTGTAGTCAGAGAAATACAGACTACAGAATTTTATGGATATGCATGCAATAAGTTTGTTTGTGTGCGTTTATTCATGGAAATGGAATTGTGATTCAGAAAACGAACTTGAGAGAGTTGAGAGCGATGCAGGCGCCTCAAAAATCGTAACAGCTGATCATTTCTTCTTTCCTATTTTTATCTCTATGTGTTTGGTTTATTTTATTTATTGGATTCAATCATTTCAAACATCTGATAATGATTCACATTAAAATTAAAATTTCTAAGTTCTCTCAAGTCTCAATCCATGCACGTAAAGGTCAGATAACTCATAAGCATCGTACGTCTAGATTTACGTGAACAAGTTAAATATAACGTCAGAAGCACTGTTACATATTAAAGAACATGTCAGAATACACCAGACTCAAAGACACAGACGTATGGATTTTGGATCCGAAATCAGTTATGTTTGGTATAGATTTACGTGATCAATGTTTATATGTTGAGAAATTAAATATCTTATTTTTTTTTCCTACAAATCCTCGTACTAAATTAAATGGTGGACATACATAACATTTAATATATGGTGGAGATACATAACATTTAATGTTTAATGTTTATTTAATGAAACATATTGTATATGTATTTCTTCGGTAGTGTATGGACTATGGTGTAAGTGTATCTCATGTAACTGTTTTATGTGTTTGTTATAAATTGGTTTAGTAACATTCAACTGGTTATAGTCATCCCGAATTAATCTAAAATAAAGAGTTTTTGTGAAATATTGGTATGTTTTATTGTTTTTAATTATTATTAATGTTTATTCAAATTGTAATGATGCATGATTCAAGTGATAACTAAAATAATAATATAAAAGAAAAAAAATTATATATTTTGGCTCTTAATAAAAAGTCACTTTTGATTTTTTTTTTTAATTTAATTATTGAAACCGATAAACACTTGCCAAATAATCTTTATAAGGGTTAAATTGCAAAAAAAAAAAAAAAAAAAAAGACAAAATTGCAAAATTGATCCCTGTGGTATGCATTTTTTTGGGGTTTTAGTCCAAACCTCGACTTTTTTGGATTGATGGTCATTTTGAGCTAGTTTAGATGCAGTTTTGATCCCTGTCCAAACTAAAAATACTATTATACCCTTAATGAATTTAATTTTTATTTTTCTCTCACTTTTTAAAATTATTATTATTAAATATAAAACTGGACCCACCTCCCTACCACTCTCTCTCTCTCTCTCTCTCTCTCTCTCTCTCTCTTCGTCCTCCCCCAGATCACCATAAAGAATCTACACACATATACATACACACACTCGACATATACAAGCAGTCGCCACTTGTTAGCCTTCAATGACTCCGCTCGATCCTCCCACCATCGATTTCATTCAACAACGCATCAAAAGGAAGCTCGAAGATTTCAGACGATGATCGCTCCTCCTTCGACTCAGTCTGCGCCAGGATGAGAAGAAACGATCCTAACCCCACCTTCTCTTCTTCTTCTACCTGATCCGACGGTGGAAGGGCAACGATAGGTGGCTGTGGGCAGCCTTGCTGCTTAAATTCTGTTGGTGGATGCTCGATGAGGGACCAAGACGAAGCAGAAACGACGATGGCGTTTGGTGGTGGTGGGTTACGACAAGATGGAGGCGTTTGGTGGGTTTTGCCAACAGTCACAACGGTAGTGGGTGTTGTAGTAGGTTTTACCAACGGTGGTTGGTGATGGAGTTGTCGTGGCAGCTTCACTACCTTTGTTTCCTTTCTTTTCAGAAGAGCTCGATGAGAGAGAGGGCTGGGAGGAGCAAGGTTATGGTCCGGAGGTATTTTGGAAGGGTGTTTGCTGGTGGTGGGTCACGACATAGGGAGGTGGAAGAGGTGTTCGAAAAATTAAGTGGGTTAAGATGGTGGTGGTTGTTTCCTCTGATCAGTAGCAAGAAGGGGGAAGAACATGGTGGTGTAGGGTGGTGTCTGGCAGCTTGCTCAACAGAAACAGTAAGGAATGGTGGTGGGGCTCAACCAAGACAAACGAGGATGGTTTTTGGTGGGGTTGTGGTGGTCTATGGCGACAATCGTGGTTGTGAGCAGCCTAGACCGGTGTTACAATCACCGGTGCTTTCTTTCTTCAAATGGTGAGATACGAGAGAGAGAGAGAGAGAGAGAGAGAGAGAAAGAGAGAGAGAAAGAGAGAGAGAGAGAGAGAGAGAGAAAGAAAGAGAGAAAAAGAGAAATAGAGAGATGGGGGGGAGATAGGTGGGTCCCACAATTTTTATTAATAAAACTTTATATTAAATAGAAAAAAGCATAGAAAATGTATCAGAAGGGTATTTTTGTCTTTTTAATTTTACGAGAGACCAAAACCACAAACAAAGTAACTCAAAAGGACTGTCAATCCAAAAAAGTCGGGGTTTAAACCAAAACCCCAAAAAATACATATCACAGGGACTATTTTTGCAGTTTTGTACAAAAAAAAAAAAAAACATTGATGACTTTTTTGTTAATAAGATTAAAGTTTAAGAATTTTTCTAGATTTTTTTTATATATAGTAAGCTTATTTGAAGAAAACTTATATTTATTTATTAAAAAACTCAAAATAAAGATAATTTTTTTTATTAAAAAACACAATAATGGTAATTTATATATCATTTTTGGAATTTTTTTGCGATTCTCTTTAACAAATATTATTAAAACAATAATAAAGATATCATCGATATATCCTACACGACTTAAGATGATTTTGTTGATTTGTCGCAATAAATGCATTTATAGGTCAAATCAACAAAAGATTATTCCAAAATAGAGCTCCGTTATGCAAACTATGTGACCTAGAAACACATTTCTTACGATAAATCAACAAAAAATCGTTTTTATGTTCGTTAATGTCTCATATTTATCAAAAAAAAATTATTTTAACATTTCATCAGGTTTTATATCTTCTTAGTTGGTCAACACTGCCACAAAGCTATCATATTTACAAACACCACCACCACCACACTTTGTCACCACCACCACCATTTGCTACCAATAACATCATCTTCACCACAAAACACCGGTAGTCCCCATCAACACCATCTCTCACCATATCTGGCCAACCCTCCTGCATTTTTCATCTCCTACCCACCATCATCACCATCGTCCACCTAATGTTCTGTAACGCTCGTAGATTCGGACTAGTCAATTTAGAGACGTTAAGTGTCTAAAATGAATTTTTTATAGAAGATTATTTAGATTGAATAATTTTAACTAAGTTGTAGTATATATTACAAGGATTTCGTACATATAAAGAACGTTGAATCCGAGTTATAACGAAGAAGTTATGACATGTCGAAGTTTCGTGACAGAACCAGCACAACGTTGTGTGACGTAAAAAGTGAATTTACGATAAAATGCTTTTTAGCCTTAGTGATCTAAACGAAAGTTGTAGAGTTCATTAAAACAAGACCATGTATAAAAGGAACGCCCAAATCTGACTTCGTATGAGGAAGTTATGATTTTTCTAAGTTTCAGCTTAGCGGTATGCAGCCCGAAACTCGAATATGAGATCGAGCGATTTCTAGCCGAAACAATCTAAACGAGAATCGAAGGTCTCGTTGATAGTAGTGCAACGGTAAAAAGACAGACGACAACAGACATTAGATGAAGAAGTTATGAATTTATAACGGAGTTTTCCTGTCTCGGCCTACTAAAAATAAATAATAAAAATAAAGTCAAAATTAGCCGACAGAGTCTAAACGAAAGTTGTAGAGCGTAGTCTCACCTACGCGTGGATATAAAGAACGTCAGCGGTTTTTAAATAATTAGTATTTATAAATTTCGATATTATCCGACTTGGGGGGGGGGGGGGGAGTCAGCGGCCTTATCCAAACTACGCCCATCTCTCTCTCTCTCTCTCTCTCTCTCTCTCTCTCTCTCTCTCTCCTGTTTTGCATTGTTTTTCATGCAAGAAATGTCCCGAAGCCCCGATATCAACCCCGAGACCCGAAGCCCGAAGATCCCGAGAAAAATAGTTTTTGAGCCGAAGCTCTGCCCGCGTGAAGCCCGATTTTGGAGGAAAACATCCTGGTTTCATCGGAAAAGAGTATTTCAAGAGACGAGGCGCTGTCCAATCATCTTCTAATCAGGTGAGTGTATAGTCTCTTTCATAACACGATTTTAATACAACTATTGTTTGAATGTATTAAGTATATGTTTTGTGTGAGTATGTAGTCACTTTCTTCTAACACATAAATATGAAGTATTTGTTATGAAATATGTGATATGTGTTTATATATTGTTGTTTATTTGAGATGAGTGTGGAATGGATGTTTTATATAGTTTTTAAATGAGTTAAACTGTATATGTACTTTATGTAACGCCCGGGTTTTCAGGGCTAAGCATTTTTGTCAATGTAATAGTCTAGGTCAACTATTGTAACTCTTTTTGAAGTAATAAATATGAAATATTTGAGTATTATGTGAATTATGTGTGTTTATGTGTTTATTATTTAATTATAAATGTATAATTAATAAAGAATAAAAATGAGCGTCAAAATTAAAGTGTGAGATAATCCCGATATCTATACATAAAGTTGTAGAATATGTCTCAAGGTTTCCGTGCATATAAAGAATGCCGAAATCCGAGCTATAAAGAAGAAGTTATGGTCCGCCGAAGTTTTACGACAAAACCGGCACGACACCGGGAAACGTAAATAGTGAATTTACGATAGAAGACTTTTTAGCCTTAGCAATCTAAACAAAAGTCGTAGAATATGTTAAACTAAGAACATCGATAAAAAGAACGCCCAAATCTGACTTCGTATGAAGAAGTTATGATTTTTCTAAGATTCGGCTTAGCAGTGCACGGCCTGAAACTCGAATTTTAGTTCGAGCGGTTTTTGGCTTACGCAACATAAATGAGAGTTGAAGATCTCATTAATAGGAAATCAACGGTAAAAAGACAGACAAAAACAGAGTCCGTATGTAGAAGTTATTAATTTTACGCAGACGTTTAACAGTATAATCTCCTTGTACTGTTAAATTTAAGATCGGTCGAGAATTAGCTGACGGTGTCAAAATGAAAGTTGTAGATCTTATTATTACCTACGCGTGGATATAAAGAACGTCAAAAACGGAGGTCGTATGTGAAAGTTACGGATTTTAGAAGTCGGAAGTGTGCTGTGCGAAAATGGGTGATGTGGCACAATCTTGGCCATTGCTTTCTCCCCAAGGCTTGCCACCAGATGGTGACATGTGGCACCAAGTTCAGCCACATTTCACCCTATAAATACCACCTCTCCCACCCTCATTTTCTTCACACCTTTCCCATTCTTTCTTCTCTTTACTCTCTCTCTCTCTCTCTAGAACCTCTCTCT